GGTAGTGATCACAGGCTTTTTCTCTGAACATGGGGTAGGATTTGAAAGGTACATTGCATACTCTTCCCTATTGAGACTTGAAAAAAATTAGACAAAACAATTATATTTAGTAAAAGTTTCAATTTTATTAGTTGAGGTCCCATCAAACCAAGGTTATGTGTCAAGTAGTGATTGTGACCATGCTGTAGTAAATTGAGCACCGCAGGCTTTAGGACCAAAAAATGAAATTGGTAGATTTTTTTGTTTTGTTGTTTTAGAAAAGCCACTAATTCATGGATAATCATCTCCCTCGGGCTAACAATTCCCCTCCTCAGTTTTACATTAATATGTTTATAACTTTATAATTTTCCTGGTGAGCTCACTGGTTCGCTGAGCCTGTCAAGATTGGGTAAGGCAAGATGAGAACAACAATCCATCCCACAACTTCTTGAACACCTTCTGGCATCCAAATTGAAAATTTCCCAATAACCACATTTCAGATGTACCTTCTAGGCTAGTGTTGTCATTTAGGGGATGGTGGAAAGGAGGTGGGTTAGGTGTGGTTTATAAAATGCTGTATAAATTGAAGAGATCCTAATATGAAAGGTTCTCATGTCCTTTGTAACACTTGAGCTTTGACCTAGGGAAATTCTTTTCTTCACAGTGTTAAGTACTTGATCCATCATTTATATTTGGGGCGAGGTAAGAAACACCTTTGACATTTCAGCTGTCTGATTTACTAACCTTAGAATGTAAAAAAGATCTGGTTTGGGATGTAAAACTGACAACACACAAACACAAATGTTTTAAGCTATCTGAACTTTGAAAGGTCAGAGATTCTGGTTGTATCTAATACTCTGGTGTTTAGGTTTCCTAATGGAAATGAACTAGAATTCAAATCTGATGTATTCATTAGAGGTACATGGGCATTGCGCTAAGCTCTTTTAATGCTAAGTTCTTAACACACCTCTGCAAAAACTAACAGTCTTAAAATTGTGCATTCTAATTCTCTACATATTAAAATCTGGGAATAATTTTAAATAGGCTCTTGAATTGATTTTGTATTTTTGAATACCTTCTATGTTTCAGAGTTTGTTATAGATGAGAGTCCTCTTTTGCATTGTAGAGGAGTACCAATATGTAAACCATTATTTTTTCAGAGTAATCGTTATATTGTATATAAATCTGCCTAAATGGCACCAAATATTCAATAGCTTGGAGGAAAAACTGGAAGTTTTACTCAGATGTTTTCAGTCATATTTGGGAATTGACATCCTTTGAAGAAGATGCCAGGGTATTTTTAAGTGATGAAGACTATTGTGGTTTTTAATAAGTAGGTAATACTTAAAATGGCATTATGATAATTCTCTTTATGAATTTGTACTTTATAACTTTATGAGATCTGGAAGATTTTTTATTTTTTATCATCTTAGCTTATATGGTTCAGTTATTATTTTTTGTTTTTCCTGGGTTTCCATTAAATTATCATGTATTTAGATAAAACATAGTCAAATTAAGCAGTCTTTCTTCATGTTTAATTAGAAGAGAGAGGTAGGTAGAGTCCTCTAAATTCAACGAACCAGCAAGCATTAGCAACAGAATTCTCCTTCTTAAATGATGTGACTCTTATGCTTCTTGATTTGTTAATGAGCTTTATTTTTGTACTTGCTCAGTCGCTTGAGGTGAAATGCCTAGATTAGCTTTTTTCCGTTGGAGTTTCCTCAAACTAATGTTTTTACTGGTTCATAGTATTTCAGGACAGTACTCCTGGTCACTACGACTATTTGAGACAGTGTGCAGTTTTGTATGCAGCTTAAGCCAGAGAAGCTTTAGTGGAGTTTTCATTGTACTACAAGTCTTCCTAGCAAAATTTGATTTCCTATAATTGTTCCTTGCTTTGCATCACTTATTATTGAAGGGTTCGTGACTCATTTGATTTGCCTTTGTTGTTTGGATAGATGATGAAAAACAATACTATAATTTGAGCCATAGGAAACATTCAATATTAGCTCCTATTTATCAAGCTTGTTTTGTGAAAACAAAACAAAAAATGGACTAAAACCTAAGTGAGTCTCTAGATGTAGCCAGTTTAGAGTGTAATTTGTATTTTAGTGATCAACACCAGAACTAGACAAAAATGGGGAAATGTATTCGTTCTCATGTTGAGGAAGATCAATGCATAAACATAAAACTTTTTTGGTTATTGTGTTTACATCATAGTGTACAAGAAAGCATTGTTATGGTTTGAAGCTTTGAGAATTTTTTTATAGCATTACACTTACAGAAAATGTATAAAAGGCTTATTGAAGTTTGTTATATTTTTTATATTTGTAAAATGGTTAGTTAAAATGGTCACTGTTCTTTTAAAATTTTATTTATTGTCATTTCAATTAAAAAAATATTGAAACTCCTGTGTGTGGCTTCACTAACCTTAGTTTTGCAATTTAATCCTGCATGCTTCTTTTCAAGTGTCCTTGGCTTGGGAGGCCGATAGGTGAGACAACCCAGCCTTGGAATAGCAAAGCCTGAAGAACTGGGACGCGTGATATTGCTCTCTCCTGGCACTCTTCCATTGTGTGTTAGCCGTGGTCTTAGAGCAAATCTAGTTTCATTGTAGGGGGACACTGGTTAGAACCCTGAACTCCCTAGGTTAGAAGTTGTCCCATAATTTTTGTTAGATGTGTTGTTGTATTTAGTGACTCAGTTTCTCACCTATAAAGGAGTGTTAGTTCCGTTAAGTCTTTTTTTTTCAGACACGCAGGCTTTCTGCTTCTATGTTACTGTAATGTATAATTTCAGCATCTTAAATAGCAACGAGTGTGCCCAAAGGATAGGAACAGTGTGTAATAAAATACTGAAAATGGATTTTATATCTAGACAAAAAGTTGAATAAAGTAAAAGTTACTGTAAGACTCTTCCTGAAAAAAATTTTACTGCTTGTGTATTTTATAGCAGGTACCAAAAGCTGTGAAAAAAATTATGAAGAAAAGCCCCCCAAATTGAAATATGTCATTAACTTCTTTAACCTACAACTTGAGTTGGTTATTTTCTCCCTCTGCTAGATTTAGTGAGGACACATTAATCGCTAATGAAACACCAAATTCTGTGGGAGTATGCCAAAACTACTGGATTAGATAATGGGGAATTCAGTTTCTAGGATGTTGAGAATCTTCAACAACAACAAAACTACTCAGCCACTTTCTCACAGTACAGTGAAATCAAATGAAGTCACAGATGAGAAAAGTTTCAGATATTTAAAAGAGTAAATACCAATAATGTATCTAGGTGTGAATCTTAATTCCTAGGCATGGACTGTCTGGTATTACTTTTAAAAATTTCTTGGCCTGGGTGGGCGCCAGTGATTCGATCGACTTCAGCCGAGTCACGATCTGCAGCGTGAGTTGAGGCCCAGCGTCAGACTCTGGGCTGATGGCTGCGGAGCCTGGAGCCTGTTCCGATTCTATGTCTCCCTCTCTACTCTGCCCTCCCCGTTCATGCTCTGTCTCTCTGTCCCAAAAATAAATAAAAAAGAATTTAATAAAAAATTTTCTTTTAACTCAAGCTTCATTGTTACCATCTTATGAAGAAGGCAGAAAATTCAGTCTTTTAGTCATTATTAGGAGACTTTAGGGGCCCAAAGTCCTCAGAAGAATCCAAGCATAAATGGTACTCTGAAATGAGGGTGGGGGTGCAGAGGCTCCTAAGACCCTCATGGACTCTAAAGATGTCTTTGTCTAAGCTGGACCCAGCTCTTTGGGTCTGGTGTGGTTGACTTCTGCGTGGCGAGACTGAGAGGACTTAACTGATAAAGGCTGTACCTGTTCAATCTTGCTGGGCACACTAAGTATTTATTGTTCTGTGTTTTGCCTTCTCCCTGGTCCTCTCGAGAGATGGGAATATGCAAAAAACCAGAAGTGCCTAGTAGGTTTTAAGCTGATTTTGACCTTGCTAAAAAAATCCTTGAGAGAATGTGCAAAAGCCTGGCTACCTTCTTGAGTGGGAGAGCAAAAAAAAATGTTGAGAGTAGAACAAATACTAATTATTCTGAGTATTCAGGCACAAACCTTTAACATTTTTAAATGCTGGGGCACCTGGGTGGCTCAGTTGGTTAAGCTGTATCAATTCTTGATTTTTTTGGCTCAGGTCATGATCTCACAGTTAAGTGAGTTTGGGCCTTCATTGGGCTCTGTGCTGACAGTTCAGAGCCTTGTGAGATTCTCTCCCTCTCTCTCCTCCCTTGCTTGTGTGTGTGTGCTCTCCCAATGGACATAAAAATCTTTTAAAAATGCAAATAAATTATTTCATATAGTTAGGCTAATCTCACTAACCCAGGTCCTCAGGAAGTTCAAACTTAGACTATGAAAATTTT